GTCTGATATGTAGCTGACAGGAAAAACTACAGTTTAGAAACATGGACAAGTTTTAAAAACTAACAAAAAAGAAGAAAGAGATGAACACAAGATCAATGTCCTTTGTGGGGCTTCATTAGGGTAAGCCTCAGTTTATAGAGTGTGAAAAGTTTAGGATCACTTCCTGAAGTTTCTGAAAGTCTCTGCACTGCCTCATAAGCACAATAGGGAATTAGAACCATTGGATGTACACGCATTCGCTCTTCAATATTTTGCATGCCACAACTGGCTTAAGGTTTGTCTTGCATAAACAAAGAAGTACAAATCGCCTTCTCTCTTACTTCTCATGCTTAGAAACGATGGTGCTTTTACCGGCAGGACAACAAATGGGAATTAGCCAGGATGCTTCTGTGCTGTATCATCATAAAAACAACGTGACTCTTCTGGCTTAGGAGGGGCCTGGAACTCAGGAATCTGTAGAGTGCTTATTTCCCTGGGGCAAAGGAGCTTCAGTGAGTCAGAGGCGGCACATGACAGCTGACTCTTTAAAGGAAAGCAGAAGGCTGGAAATGAATCATTTGTATATAGTAGTCAGCTTGTGGTTGGAACTGTTGTCACAAGCCCAGTGTCTGACCTAGAGGCAGAGTGAGGGTTTGGTGCTAGCTAGCTCCACTCCCAATCAGTGGTGAGATTAATGAACAGTTACTGTGCCAGGGGTTTGGACAGACAAGTTGTGTGGGAAGGGGCTCCACTCTCATCTCGCCTTCCCTCTTCCTGAATGCTGAGTAATAATCACTCCAAAAGTCAAAGTGGGGAGAGCTTGTGAAGAGGTTTATATTATACCATGATAAATGGAGAATGTACCAGTAAGGTGTTCCCTGAATACCAGAAGCTTTTTCCACTCCACAGCTAGCCACTTAATCACAGGAAACTGTTTACCTACTAAATTTATTTCTAGAATTGAAGTGCTCAAGCCTATACTCACAGGACACAAAGTACTTTCTGAGGACTTCTAGATTCTTAGGAAAAGGGAAAAGAAAATCAAGTGGGAGAGATGTTCCAGGTTCTGAGTAGAATTACTTTCCATGAAATTATGCAAAAAGAATTGAAAACATTTTCACTTTCAAATTCATATATTTTTGGCTTGTGTTCTAGAGGCCTGGAAGAGTAAGATAAGGGTGTGAATGATCCCATAGTGTTTGAAAACAAAGTAAACCCCAGAACTGAGAGTAATTACATAACAGAACAACTTACAGATTTATATTTCCTCAAACTTCATTAGATTTGGTTACTACAACAATACTCAGATATGATGTCATTATTTCTTGGTTTAACAGATAAACAAAGGGATTATGGGCATTTCCCAAAGGACTGGAATTTGCTGATCACTCTTTTTCACCCTCTTGTCTTAGAATACTCTCCTTTTACTTAACTCTTGCATTTCTACATGTTCTCATTCTCATTTGCTGCTATCCTTCTCTACCTGCATATTAAATGACTCAACTCCTTCTAAAGACTCAGTTTGAGGCCCTCTCCTTATCTCATGCTGCAACCCTAATGTCCTGTGCACACTAGTCTTTTAAATTGTCATCTATATTCCAAAGACTCCCAAATGGTTAACCTCCTTCCTAGACTTTTCCTTCCCATCTATGTGTCAAGGCCCATTTTTGAGCCTCCATTTGGGTATTTTAAATGTAACTCAAACCCAACATATCCTGAACTGAACTTAAGAGGTTCCACCAGTACAAGCCTGCTTGCCCTTCCATGGAGCCCCATTCTGGTGAATGGCAACATCATATATCAGTTGCATAAGTCAGAAAGAAACCTGAGGATCATATTTGACTCCCTAAACCCAACACCTTAATCCAATCCATTGAGTTCTGTTGAATTTGCCTTCCTCTTCTTTTTCACTTCTTTTCCTTTTCACCCCCACTCTGGGTATAAGCACCCATCGTTTCTTGTCCAGTCTCTGTAACAGCCCTCCTACTGGGTGTTTCTGCAACCAATTTTGCTCTTCATTATTCTGTTCTCTACAATGCAACCACCTCTCTCTCTCTCTCTCTCTCTCTTTTTAATGCCCATCTCTTCAAATAACCTTGTATTTGAACTCTTCTAAAACCTTCTCTCTGCTCTCAGGATAGGTATCTGAAGAGAGACTAAAAAACCTTGCATAATCTGGACTCTACCCAACTCATCAGACTCATTCAAATACTCTTTCACTTTACCCTCTCCATTCCACCCTTGCTCTCTTGTTTTACCAATTCAAAATGGACATGCTGACTCCTATTACCAGCCCTTCATAGGTCCTGTCTTCTCTTCTTAGAAAACTGCCCCCCATTTTGCTCCTACTTCTTTTATCAGATCTCAACTATTTTTTCTTCAAAAATGCCTTCCCTGACCCTCATGTTAGTTAGGTCCCTGAGATGTTATGAATTCATACATAGCTGATACCTACGTTTTAAAAATACTTAGTACACATATTTACATACTTATTTGCATGTAACTGATTAATCCGTTTTCTCTATTATTCCTAAAAGGGACAGATACTGCACCATTGCAACTCCAGCAGATAAACATAGAACATGGCATACAGGAAATGTTCAGTAAGCATTTGAATGAATGGTAGGTCCAGAACAAACTCAATTGGTTTCTGATTCCCAATCCAATGACCTTTTTTAAATATATGATGCTACATTATTTGGTGATAACCTGAGAACCTTTAAGAAATATAAAATTGACAAACGGAAATAATTTAAGTATAAAGTAGCATGTCTTATTGTTTATGGACAATGAAAGAAAAATACTTTTCAACTTGTCTAAAACTGATCTTTGAACTCATTTCTCTTCCTGACTTACTCATTTTTGCTATTGAAACCACAATTTTGCCAGTCTCCCAGCTCAAAACCTTGGGTTTCTTGTGGACTCAATTCTTTCCTCTGTTTCCATATCCAATCCTCC